CCCATACATGCCCCAATGGAGGTTTGAACCGGGAACCTAGGTAATGTGCCCTGATCGGGAGTTGAACCCACAACCTTTTGGTGCACGGATGACACTCCAACCAATGGAGCCACCCCATCAGGGGCATCAGTTTAGTTAATTTGTGCTTCATATATTTTAGGGCTTTCATTCTATGTTTTAAAGAGGAAATTTGAGTAATTAACTTTTATGTGCTTTTTATATTCACGTATTAATTCCTTGTGAAAAGTTCTGGGATGTGGATTAGAGGATGTTTACAAATGATTACTACAACTGTGAGCTTCCAAACCAAACTGCAGTGTCCGTTATGGGGAAGAAGATTTAAAGTGCTTTTTCAAAAGGTTATTTTCTTTTCCTCAAAATCTCAACCACCATTTTTGTAGAAATAGGAAAATCTACCCCAAAATTCATATGGAATTTCAAACAAATCTTGAAAACGAATGAAGTTAGAGGTCTCACACTTTCCGACTTCGACACTCACCATACCGCTGCAGTAATTGGTGTGAGGCTGGCATGAAGACAGACAGACCAGGAATAGAACGGAGCCCAGAAATAAACCCTTGCATGTATGTTCAGGTGACATTGGGCCAGGGCACCAAGACCATTTAATGGGGAAAAGATAGTCTTCCCAACAAATGGTGTCAGGAAAGCTGGATATCCAATTGGACCCTTACTGTACACCATATACAAGTAGTGACTTAAAATGGATCAAAGACCTAAAAATCAGCAAAAACTATGAAACTCTTAGAAGAAAACAGCATAAGCTTGATGACTTTGGATCTGGCTATGATTTCTTGGATCTGACACCAAAGCACAGGCAATAAAAATAAAGTGAACTGTACTACATGAAAGCTAAAAACTTTGTGCATCAAGGACACTATCAATAGAGCTGAAAGGCAATTCACAGAGTGTGGAAAATATTTACAAGACATATCTGAAAAGGGATTAACATGCAGAATAAATGAAGCACTTATATAACTCAGCAACATCCAGACGAACAACTTGATTAAAGATGAGCGGGTCTGAAACCGGTTTGGCTCGGTGGATAAAGCGTTGGCCTGCAGAATGAAGGGTCTCAGGTTTCATGCCAGTCAAGGACATGAACCTTGGTTGCGGGCACATCCCCAGTAGGGGGCGAGCAAGAGGCAGCTGATCGATGTTTCTAACTCTCTATCCCTCTTCCTCTCTGTAAAAAATAAATAAAATATATTAAAAGAAGGAAAAAAAAAAGATGAGCAGGGGACTTGAACACATTTCTCCAAAGAAGATACACCAAGAAGCATATGAAAAGAAGCTCACCATCACTAATCATGAGGAAAATACAAATAAAAATCCAACGAGATACCACTTTACACCTATTAGGGTGGCTGTTACTAAAAAAAATACCACTGTACCAGTTAGTAATGCGGATTTTTTTCAATAGATGGAGTTACACATATGTTTATTTATATGCGATTTGATATGTACTAGTATGCTGTTTTGTACCGACAGCAAGCTTTAAAACTTCATATGTCAAATTAGTTTTAATTCATTATTTTGAAGAAAAGTGCTGCTGAACGTTATTGTTTACTTCGGGAAGCTTATGATGAAATGTTCCATCTCAAGATACTTGTGAACTCTGGTTTAAACGCTTTAATAGTGATGATTTTGATGTGAAAGACAAAGAATGTCCAGGTCAACCGAAAAAGTTTGAAGACCAACAGTTACAAGCATTATTGAATGAAGATGCGTGTCAAACTCAAAAACAACTTGCAGAAAGACTAAACGTTGTTCGGCAAATGATTTCTGATTGTTTACAAGCAATGGGAAAGATTTTAAAGGAAGGAAAATGGGTGCTTCATCAACTGAATGAAAGACAAATGGAAAACCGAAAAATCATCAGTAAAATGTTGCTTCAACGGCACAAAAGAAATTCTTTTTTGCATCAAATTGTGATTGGCAATGAAAAGTGGATTTATTTTGAGAATCCCAAATGTACAAAATTATGTTGGATCCAAGTCAACCATCAATATCGACTGTAAGGCCAAATCGCTTTGGAAAGAAGACAATGCTCTGCATTTGGTGGGATCAGGAAGGTGTGGTATATTATGAGCTACTAAAACCAGGTGAAACCATTAATACTGATCACCACGAACAACAAATAATCAATTTGAACCACACTTTGATCGTAAAACGACCACAGTGGGCCATAAGAGACGGCAAAGTAATTTTGTTTCATGATGACAGACCAGCACACACTTCAAAACCAGTTAAAGACATGTTAAAAGATCTTGCTGGGAAATATGAACCCACTGCCGTCCGTATTCACCAGACCTTGCACTTCAGATGACCACCTGTTTCCATCGATGGCACACACACTCTCTGAGCAGCACTTCTAAACGTACGAAGAAGTGGAAGATCGGGTCTCTGAATGGTCTGCCTCAAAACAAAAGTTCTTTTGGGACGGTACCCACCAATTACCTGAAGGATGGGGAAATGGGTAGCTAGCGATGGACATTACTTTGAATAAAGCACTTTCGACTTTCGACTTTGAATAAAGCACATTTCTCTTGAAATGACTGTGCTTTCTTTGATTACAAATCCGCGTTATTAACCGGCACACCCGTAATGTGGGCAGTTGGAACCGTTTGGCGCTGTGGTGGGACATGGCAAATGGTGCCCCTGTGGAAACATCTCCGGGCACACGTACCAGCCTGAGACGTGCCGTTAGCTTGTGTGCTCTTAGCTCCTTCCCATCCCCAGCTGTTAGTGCTGCAGTGGTTCCCGTCTTCCTGGTGGCCTAACCCATCCTCATGGCTAAAGCATCATTGCTGGATTTGAAAATATTGTTTTAAATTAGGGGTGTCGAACTCAATCAGAGAAGGGGCCAAAATCTAAAATCCAGCCTAAATCGCGGGCCGAATGGTTTACTGAACAGTCATAAACTGTCATTGTGATGGAAACGCAGCGGAGTGCAGTGGTGACAGCGCGGTGCGGGCCACATTGCAAGGCCTGGCGGGACGGATTTGGCCCGCGGGCCTTGTGTTTGACACATGTGCTTTAAATAATCAAGCCTTGTGCTGTGATCTTTCTGTGCCATTGAAGAAATTACCAACATTAATCTCAGCATTATGGCTGCTGTTCACGTGGAGGAGAGCAAGGGGCCACCTTGCTGTGTGTGCAGACAGCATGGGGGTCTGACTTCACCTCTCGCACATTGTGAGGTGGCACAGGGCGTGATGGTGCTTCTCTCCCTTGCCGCACACGGGGACAGAGTTAGAGTGGGGCAGATACAATTGCAGTTATGTTTGCCAGGTGCCGGCACATGTCTTTTCAGAAATACGCTCCCCTTAGTGATGTGTGTGCATTCGGGAAAGCTGCCCAGAGAGCAGGTCTAGATCTCACACCTACTTGGCTTTGATCTCTTGGGGCAAGTTCTTTGCCCTCTTTAGCCGAAGGTTTCTTTTCTGTAAAAGATGATCTATCAATAATATATATTTGGAAGGGAGAGGGACGAGAGAGAAACATTGATCAGCTGCCTCCTGCACACCCCCTTCTGGGGATGTGCCCTTGACTGGAATCGAACCCAGGACCCCTGAGTCTGCAGGCCAACACTCTATCCACTGAGCCAAACCGGTCAGGGCAACAATGAACTTTTTGTTTTCTGTTATATTAAAAGCCATTGGTTTATTTGCACTTGGAATGGCTCTTACCTGATAGAATTAGCCTGGCTTTTATATATGGACTAGAGGCCCAGTGCATGAAATTCGAGCACTCGGGTTATCCCACAGCCCGGCCTGCGCCCTCTCGCAGCCCAGGAGCCCTCAGGATAAGTCCTACTGCCATGAAGGCGGGAGAGGCTCCTGCCGCCGCCATTGCACTTGCCAGCTGTGAACCTGGCTTCTGGCTGAGCGGTGCCCTCAGCGGAAATGCAGTGACCACCAGGAGGCAGCTCCTGTGTTGAGCGCTTGCCCCCTGGTGGTCAGTGCACTTAATAGTGACTGGTCGTTCTGCTGTTCAGTCGATTTGCATATTAGCCTTTTATTATATAGGATATTACTACTTAATTGGTACTTTTAATATTTAGTCACTTGCCTTTTCTGTTAAATGCCCCCAATTTCTCAAAAATAGAAACTGGGTCCAGCTGGCATTGCTCAGTGGTTGAGCGTTGGCCTATGAACCAGGAGGTCACGGTTCAATTTCCGGTCAGGGCACATGCCCAGGCTATGGGCTCAATCTCCCAGTGTGGGGCTTGCAGGAGGCAACTGATCAGTGATTCTCTCTCATCATCGATGTTTCTCTCTCTCTTTCTCTCCCTCTCTCTCCACCCCCCTTTCCTCTCTGAAATCAAGATTTAAAAAAAAAAAATAGAAATCAGCCCCTTTAATTCCCATTTTACTTCTGTGGGAGAACAAGGTACCTAGACTTGTGAACATTGCTTTTTGCTTTGAATTTCATTTTTCACTCTTTAACTGAAATAGACTCTCCGAGTAGACTGCAGTTATGATAAAAAACAAACCCTCATGCCTGCTGAAGGCTGTTGCTCCTGCGGGGAGTTTGCCGTTTTGCGGAGGGAATCTGGGTCAGAAGCCGTGAATGGGGATGGTGGCCTCGGCAGACAGGCTCGTCACTGAGGCTGTGGGTGGAGGCGCGGTCCCCAGCGCTGCTCCGAGAGCTGCTCTGGCGGGAGGGCGACCAGTGCCACCCACGTCTCCCAACAGCCTTCTCGAGGAGGGCAAGGAAAGTGCGACATCCTGGGGTTTTAACGAAGGGTAAGGAAAAAAGCGGGGGATATATATATATATATATATATATATATATATATGAATCACTAGTCTTTTAAAGTTCATTTTAGAAATGATACTGACCAAACCAGCTATGGTTTGTACACTTTTTAAGAAGTTTTTGTCAAAGGCACTAGCAGGCCTGATTGCCGCCCGTTGTACTAGCTTTAATGCAGAACACTGGCACCTGTAACTTCTGTTCCGTGTTTCTGTCTGCAGTGTCTCCAGCTGCCTTTCTTGAAGAGAAAATGGCCTTCCAGGGGTATCAGAACAACCAGAACTGGCCAGAAAACACAAACTTCTACTTTGAACCTGAGCAAGGGGTACATCCTATCCAGACTGGTAAGTGCAGCTTGCCCGTGGCTGCTGACTGTGAACTGGCATCAGCATGGAAAAACCACACCCACCACCCAGACCCAACATGTTAGCCTAAACACAGCGCGTGAAGTGCGAGCCACGTGTCACGCAAGCCCCTCCTCCTCCCTGAGCCTCTCTCTGCCTCGGGCACCTGCTCTCTGGCTCGCTCCCCTGCAAAACCTGTTTTGAATAAAGGAACTGAAATTCACGTTCATTGGAGTTTAATTCTTCCAAAGGAACTACAATATTACAGTAATAGCACAGTGTTTCCTTCTCATTGCAGCCATTGGGTGGCTCTGGTTAACACAATATACAGTTCCACAGCACATGTGTGCTCCGTGCTGTGTGTTCACCACCCAAGGCAGGTCTCTGCCCAGCAGTCACCATTTTTAAAAAAATACAGTTTTTATTGATTATTTTACAGAGAGGGAGATGGATAGAGTTAGAAACATCGATCAGCTGCCTCTTGCACACCCCCCACTGGGGATGTGCGTGCAACCAAGGTACATGCCCTTGACCGGAATCGAACCTGGGATCCCTCAGTCCGCAGGCCGACGCTCTATCCGCTGAGCCACACCGGATAGGGCCATCAGTCACCATTTAACAGCACCGTTTGATGAATGCCTATTTTGCGCCAGGCATAGAGCTATAGCCTTTACATGTAGATTATACGTGTTTCTTACATTACTCTGTCAAATATATATTATCCCCTTTGACAGAGAGAAAAACCAAGATTCACACCCACGTCCTATAAAATTCCAAATAATCATGGAGCCAGAAGCGTGTCTGAGTGGGAAGCGGGGAGGACGGGCCTCCACGTGGCAGCCTCAGTGGCTCCAGATCCGAGTTACCCGGCTGAGAGCTCACGGTGTTTCCACCGAGATGCGGCTTATTTATTTATTTACTTATTGCCATTGGTCTCATAAGGGGGGCACACTGCTGTTTCAAATTAGTGACTGTTTATTGATTTCTTACCATGTGCAGTGACATTATCTCAATTTCCTTAACTTCCTGTGACAACACACGGTTAGCTGGTCAGCACTCACCGTGGCCGAAGGCTGCTGTCGCGGTGGCAGGGCCCTGGGTTGAGTCTTGAACCGCTCTTTACTCAGATCCCTTCCGGATGCCCTGCGGTGGCGGCCTGGAAGACCTGCTCTTCTTTCCCGGCGGAGCCAGCCTCGCCCCCGCGCCGGCACCGTGGAGTGACCCTGTGACAGGCGGCGACGGTACGGCTTCTCCGGCTCGGCTGGCGTCTCACCTGAGACGGTCAATGTGGTCTTTCCCGTCACGTGAAGCTAATTAGGCAAAGCGTGCGTGGGGCTCTGGCTGGGACAGGGCACTTCAGACCAATCCCAGGAGAGAATTCAGCTGGGCGCTCTGGGCTGCTCCCCTCCTGTGTGGGATCTTGAATTCTACATCCTACGGCCAGATTCTGTGTCCACATTTTACCGCCTCATTCAATGGCCTTGGGCGAGTTTTGTTTATCTATAACATTAGTTTCTTTTATCTAATAATGGGCCAACAGTAGTTCCTACATTAAAGATGAGCTAAGATAAAATAAAATTAAAAGTATTTTACATATTGCTCATTACATAGTAAACATTAAACAGATCTTAGCTATTAATTGGGAGTATCCTCATTTATGGTGCTGCGTAACTTTTAAACAAAACTTTACTTCTACTCAGCTTGGGTTTCCAGCTGGACTGTTCAACAGAAAGACAGATGGACAGAGAAGAATAGTTCATTAATGCATGTAGCATTCATCATGCAGGAGAAAAGCAACTCGAGGTGGTTTCTTAGAACTTCTCTTTCTGGAGCATCTTCAGTAAGAACGTTAAGTTTGTAGAGAAATGACAGGTCAGGGCCGCAGTTTCAGGCTGAAGAGCGGCAGCCGGGGGGAAGTGCAGGAGGACTCTGGGTCTGTTTGCAGGCTGCTCTGCTGCCCTCTCTGGGCTGCTGAGCTCAGTCTCAGTGGAAGGAGGGTTATTCCCACCCTGAGGCAGAAATGGGGGAGCCTTTTCTACGTGTGCTGTTTCTTAATTGCCTTCAACTCAAAATAATTTTTCAGTCAAAAAGGCATATTTTGGGATGACCTATTCTGGTTCCCTTCAATGCCCAGCATCAGTAAGACCCACTTCGAAGAATGCTTATAATTCTGTATTGGTAAGGTTCTGTCTCATTAGGTTTTCCTTTGGACTCTTGGAAGAAGGATGTCAAATGAGTTGACTTTGATGTTATCGGTCTAGTCTCCTGAGACTTAGATTTGGCTTGGACTCCTGTGTTTTATAGTTCCCTAGTTAGTGAGTCCTTTAGATGCAGGGACTTCTTTCTTTACAGCATCTTTCTTCTCTCCTCTTATGCTCCCTCACTCTTTCCCAGTGTACACCCCTGTATTCCACACTCAGCCGCCTTCGTCATCTCCTGACTGAATTCTAAAATCCATCCCAAACAGACCTGAAACATGGACCCGATGCATCCTGTTGTTTGTCTTCTCATTCCCATGAGTGGAACTCAATGCGCCCTGTTTGTTTTCCCTCTCAGGCCTAAGTCTCCGGCTTTCCTGACCCCTTTGTCCGCTCTGACCGTCTCTGTTGCTGACACGCAGGCTGTGCAGCACTTAGATCAACTGACCTCAGTCCCAGAAACGTCCTGTGCTGTCGGCCTCGCCACAGTTCTTTCGCTCAGTGTTCTCCATCCTTGGAATTGACTCCTGTCTCCTCTCTTCTTGCTCTTGCTTCTCCTCCGAAGCTTCTGTGACTCTCCGGTCCTCATGGTTGATTTTACTCTTACCACGCCTCCTTCGTACTGTATCTCCGGTGTTATTTGATCTGTGTCCAAGATCTTGCCTCTCTAGCTACATTGTAATAATCTTGATGGCAAGAGGTTATTAAATACACTATTAAGTCTGGCAGTAGACAGCACAGTAATAATCTTTTTTAAAATATATTTTTTGATTTTTTACAGAGAGGAAGGGAGAGGGATAGAGAACTAGAAACATTGATGAGAGAGAAACGTCGATCAGCTGCCTCCTGCACAACCTCCACAAGGGATGTGCTCGCAACCAAGGTACATGCCCTTGACCGGAATCGAACCTGGGACCTCTCAGTCCGCAGACCAACTCTCTATCCACTGAGCCAAACCAGTTTCAGCACAATAATAATCTTTTGACATCCATTTCTTAATAATTTACAAAGCATTTCCAGAGGATTGTTCCTAACATGGAAAAGGAATTTAATAACCCCTTGTTTATGGGTGAGAAAGGTAAGACCCACAGTTCCTTACCATCCATCACGTCGTGTCGGTGGTGCTGTGACTCCGTGAAATGCACTCTGGGAGGTTGACTCCCAGCACGCCAGGGAATGGCGGCAGCACAGCCTGCTGACCTGCCAGAGAGCTGGAGACCGGCCCCAGGGTTTGCTGCAGGACTCTGCCTTGTCGCCATGGCCCCGGTCTGCGTGCTGTCCAGCATAGAAAGCTCGCTTCTGCGTCAGAGGCCTCCTCCCCCGCTGACATGTGTGTTTGTGTTCCACTATCAGGTCATCTTCCCCGAGACACATTTACTCCTGAAGCGGTGGTACCTCAGGGCTGGCCTGTGGGAGCCCCCAACTTGCCCCCCGTGGGGGTCTTCATTCCCCCAGGGGCCGCGCTGCCACTGCAGCCCGCAGCAGGTAACGTCGATAATCAGTGTAAAGCATCACACGTATTTTTCAGCAACATACAACAGCATCGAAAAAAATGTCAGAATTGTCACAGATATTTTTAAACTTGTATTGCTGATTTCACAGCTAGAGGAAGGAAGGTGTAGTTGAATATAAGATTTTGGATTCATGGGCAAAGAAAATGCCTTTTCATTTGGTGCGGATTTCAAATTCTAGGGTCCCATGTTCCCTTTCTGGCAGTAATTATATGTCTGCATTGTTTTTTTAAACATTGGGTGTTTTTTCTTCTTCTTTGCCTTTTCTCCTCCATTGTCTGTTCTCCCAATAGCTGGTCTTTTAAGCATTGGGACTGTCAGAATGGGCGCAAACGCGTTAACCTGCCAGCTTCTTGGTCATGTTTGGGGTGTTGGGGTCACAGGAGCAGAGGTTCCTGTGCTCTAAGAAAGTGAGTTGTGAGTGCAGAGCTCTGAGCAGACTTTGATGGCTCCTAAACTTCCAATGTGTTTCCCTTAGGGCCAGCCGGGGAGGGAGACATGGCATCGGAAGGAGAGAGGGCATCAGCCAGAGCCCTGGAGATGATGATGGGCCTGCAGGCCACTGGCATGGCACCGTCTGGAGAAACGGAGGTGGCCCTGGCTCAGGACCTGGCACCAGTCGCAGGAACAGAGGTGGCACTGGCCAGAGACGTGGCATCACCTACCAAAGAAGATGAGTCATTCGCCAAGAACACGGAATCATCCACGGAGCCAGACATGGCTGTGGACATGGACGTGGTACTCCCTGTAGAATCCAAGGAAACCACAGCCAAGGACGGAATGCTGTTCAGTGAGACAGAGAGGGCACCTCCCTTCAGCGGGGACGTGGCTCCAGCTGAAGGCATGGGCTCACTCACAGAAATGGAGGTGGCATTGGCTAAGGACATTGTATCACCCACAGCCAAGGAGTTGGCCTTGTCCTCAGAAACAGAGGTGGCCCCGGGCAAGGACCTGGCTCCGCCCCCACAAGCACAGGTGGCCCCGGGCAAGGACCTGGCTCCGCCCCCGGAAGCACAGGTGGCCCCGGGCAAGGACATGGCTCCGCCCCCGGAAGCACAGGTGGCCCTGGACAAGGACCTGGCTCCGCCCCCGGAAGCACAGGTGGCCCTGGACAAGGACCTGGCTCCGCCCCCACAAGCACAGGTGGCCCCGGGCAAGGACCTGGCTCCGCCCCCGGAAGCACAGGTGGCCCTGGACAAGGACCTGGCTCCGCCCCCGGAAGCACAGGTGGCCCTGGACAAGGACCTGGCTCCGCCCCCACAAGCACAGGTGGCCCCGGGCAAGGACCTGGCTCCGCCCCCACAAGCACAGGTGGCCCTGGACAAGGACCTGGCTCCGCCCCCGGAAGCACAGGTGGCCCTGGGCAAGGACCTGGCTCCGCCCCCACAAGCACAGGTGGCCCCGGGCAAGGACGTGGCTCCGCCCCCACAAGCAGAGACTCCCCTGGCTAAGGATGTTGTACCATCTTCTGAAGCAGAGGGGGCCCCAGTTCCAGCGAAGGACATGGGGATTGTGCGGACACCAGGAAAACTGAGTGAGGCTTTCCAGGTAGCGTCTCTCCAGGGAGAGGGGCCTTCAGCTGAACCTGCTTCCGTGACCTCACCAGGTATGGCTCACATTTATCCTCAGGTTTCTGTCTGTCGAGGCAGTCTCCATGCCAGATAAATAAACACATCACACACATTCCTCCTCTCCCACAGTCTCCTCTCCCTCACCCTCTAGCACCTCTTCATCCTTGCTCTCTGCTCACCTAGTGTTTCTTACAGATCAGGAAGCAGTAAGGAGGGATATTCACAGCCTCGCTCCATCTACCTGCCTGCTATGTCTGTGCCCAGACTCTGCCCTCCTGTTACTGGGAGTCAACATCCCTGCCTCTGGTTAAGGCCCCCTCTGTATTGTACTAGATCCCCTCTCCTCCTGCTCTTGTGTATTGCTCTGTTCTGGCCATTCTCTCTCTCTCAACCCTCACCCAAGGATATGCTTCTGTTGATGTTTTTAGTGAGAGAGGAAGGAGCGGGGAGAGAGAGAAGAGAAACACTGATGTGAAAGAAACATCAGTTGGTTGGTTGCCTCCCCCATGTTCCCTGACTGGGGACTGAACTGCAGCCAGAGGTCAGCCACAGCTGATGGCGCAGGACAAGGCCCCGGCCAAACAGCGCTCAGCCAGGCCTCTCCGTCCTGCTCTCAGCAGTGCTTTCCCGGCCGCGGCCCCTTCCCGCCGGCATGCAGACATGGGCTGCTTCCCTCGTTTTAAAAACCAACACACAAGCCCTCCATCCCACCTTCCACACCGCCCCTGCCTGCTGCCCTCGCTGCAGCTCCCTCCTCCTCCAGCCTTTCTGCTCCCATTCTGGAAGGTGGAGAACCAGCTGGCGTCTCTGAAACCTGTGGTCTCTGTTACCTTCAGAACCGGGCACAGCCGGCAGCCAGACGTTCGCCGTGCCAGCAGACGAGGCACCTGTGCCAGAGGACCCCGCGCAAAGGAAGCCTTTCAGCGGACAGCCTCCGGAGCCTTCCGCAGAGCCCACAGGTAGGTCAGGGAGTGCAGTGGGCGCTGGAACCACTGCCCCTGGGCGTGGTGGGAGCTGGGGCAGCTGTCCCCGGCACAGGCGGTGGTCAGCGGCACCGTTGATGAGGTCAGTTCTCCTAGATTTTGTCTTGTTTGGGCAGAAAGTCAGCTCGTTGCCTACTTTTCAGTGGTCACCACGCCAACCCAGGACACCCAGTGCAGATCAGCTGACCCCTTCTGAACGGCCCTAGTTTGCCCACTGGGAGGGGTACGTTGGTCCATGTCCCGTAAGCACCCCAATTACCGTGTCACCGCCCGGCGCATCGGCGTCGCCTGGGAGCACATCAGAAATGCATGTTCTCGGGCTCCAGCTCAGCCTCCAAGTTTTCCAGACAATTCTCATGTCTTCCCCGGGGAGGCGTCCTCCTTTCAAGTCCGATCACTTAGAGAACTTCACGGCACATGTTCTTCATTGTGAGCCAGAAACATCCATGACGGATGCGGTGGAGGGCCGGGACCGTGACTCACTCACTCACAGTCCCAGAGCTTTGCACCGACAAGGAGCAAAATTAAGTTTGGGTTTTTTTTTTTAAAATGTCGTTTTAGTGACTCAGCATATCAATCAAGATTTATCAAGTTCTTGATGTGTACAAAGCACAGCATGCCCACGCAGAGACAGCAAGGTCTGGCCCTGCCCTCCTGCTGTTATATCAGTCTGGATGGAGAGAATCCCCAGACATGAACACAGACCAAAGATTTACGTAATTGAATTGGTTTAAGAGATGGCACCAAATGCTAGCAGAACTGGTTAACTGCCAAGTTAAATGTTATAAACGCTTAGGGTAAACAAGCCTGGCAGTTTTTCTGAGAAGCAATTATTGATCTGAGGCATTAAACGAAGGGTGAGATTTGGAGGGACTGGGTGGATGCTGTGAGTGTTTGCTCTGCTCTGGTCACTTCCTGGCTCAGACCTGACCAGAGCGGTCCTAGACCTGCTCTAACGGGCCTTTCCAGGACTCGGGTCCTGGCAGCCTGTCATGGAGGCAGGCGGCCGCAGCAGTGACTTCCTGAAACACTCCCAGTGGTGCTCCTTCCTGTGCTGCCGGCAGTAGGTGTAGTTCTCTGACTTTGGAGGAAGTACATTTGGGAACCGAAATTGAAACCTAACACATTAGTCTTTTGAAGTAGGAGGTTCTGGTTCTGGAACGATGAGATTATTTCTCTGATCCAAATACGAATTCAGTATCTTTTTCTTTTCCTTTTCTTCCTCTTTTTCTCCTTTAGTAGTATAAGCCTGGTCTGTTTCCCAGAATTTACCTGGTTAGCTTGATAACTGTTTAGTATAATATTGGTGACAGATTCTTAGAATTACAAATTCTGTCCAAGATCATATGTATTTATTCAATTAATAAATGTCACCAAAAAGAAACAGGAGCTTACCACTTTATTGCAGAATTGGGAATTATGGGTCTAATAAAAATGACAAATATAAACAAGTATCAGCTGAGAGTCATAGGCAGTAAATGCTTATTCTAGGGGTTAGGATATCTCTGAATGTCTTTTCTCCAGTTTTAAATACTTTGTTAAATGTGTTTGAAAAAATATTTAACATGATGATCTTTGTTAAATATTTGCTAATCCCCGTTAAAAGTGAGAAATGTTTCAGAAAAGAAAACCCAACTTTTCCTAAATGAATTATTATGTGGATTGGTATAAATAGACTACTAAAATGAGCCAATAAGTGGACTTCTTGAAGGAACGATAACAAGGAGTTTTCTGTTTGGAATCTTGGCCATCTCCGTGTATTGCAGGTGCCCTTCCCACCGGAGCCAAGCAAGCGTGCAGACCCAGGGTCCGCAGGGCCGCCCGGCCCCGGCCTGCCCGGGCTCCTCCCGAGCTGCTGGGGGGCTCTTCACGGAAGACTCTGGATCCCGAGCTGGGCCCCTGCTCTGTGCCCGAGGCCGGCGGGGGCTCTGGCTCGGTCTCCTGCGCGGAGCCTGGGAGCCAAAGGAAAGCCCCTCCCGGGGACCTCCTTGAAACACAGAGGGATGCTGGCAGGGAGGCCTGGGATGGAGACAGCGCAGCAATGATGGCGAAGAAGAAAAAGAAGAAACCAAAGCAAAAGAGAGATTCTCAGCCCCGGGCTGGGGGGCCTTGGGATGAAGACAGCACAAAAGAGGCTGACGGTCACCCCTCCGCAGCTGACGCCCAGAAACCGGGTGTTCTCCCCAGCCAGCCTGCCACTGTGGGCGTGAAGTGCGGACTGGCCTCCGGAGAAAGCCCGAGAAAGGACCCTGGGATCGACTCCAGAACAGCCTCCCTGGCAGCGGAGAGCTTTGTCTGGGGAAGCCCCAGTGTTCCTTCGCGTCCTTCGGAAGCGCCCCCTGCAGCCCCAGGGAATGCTCAGTTCGAGCTGAGCACAGAGGCAGAGGTCAAAGGTCACAAGTCAGAACCACAGAGCCAAGGCAGGGACTCTGTGCAGCAAGGTGAGTGCAGGCCTCAGACTGCTCCCCGCCTGGCGAGCCCTGGGGGTGAAGGCCAGGCCGCAGGCCCTCTCGGACTACAAGGGCCCCTGACAGAGGTTTCTGTCCGCAAAACCGAAGTTCCTTTGGAGGTCAGCGCCCAGGAGGACCAAGAGGCTATGGGCCGAGTTTTAAAACCCACAGCAGCCAAAGAATTGCCTAATCCGACACGCACTTTGACAGCCAATAACCCACTGGAAAGCAGCCTGAAAGAAGGGAATGATGCAAGGGCAATGGCCACGCTGCAGAAGGACACTCAGAAAGAGTTCTCTGAAGCAGCTGAGGGTGTGAAAGAACTTAACAAGGAGATGAGCATCTTAGCTTCGGAGCAGCTGCCCCAGGGCAAGAGTCAGGCTCCTGGGCCCGGGAGCGAGCCACTTAAGAGAACAGCAGGTGATGGCAAAAGCAGGAAGGGAAGGGGGAGTACTGGGAAAGTGAGGGCGAGTTCTGGGAAGGCAAAAGCAAGGGCTGAGCTGCCGGCCCTTCCAGACAGCCAGGAGGACGGCAGAGCTGCCCCCGGGCCAGGCGAGCCAGCCCCCGGGACAGGCAGAACGGTTGCTGGGGCTGCGAGGGGGGAGCTGAGGCTGCATTCTTCCAAGCAGCCTCGGACCACGGCTGCTCTCGCTGAGGCAGTGGCCAAGGGGGCCCCTGAGGAGACGGACCCTGAGGCAGTGGCCAAGGAGACCCCTAAGGAGATGGACCCTGAGGCAGTGGTCAAGGGGACCCCTAAGGAGACGGACCCTGAGGCAGTGGCCAAGGGGGCCCCTAAGGAGACAGACCCTGAGGCAGTGGTCAAGGGGACCCCTAAGGAGACAGACCCTGAGGCAGTGGTCAAGGGGACCCCTAAGGAGACAGACCCTGAGGCAGTGGTCAAGGGGACCCCTAAGGAGACGGACCCTAGTGCAGCAAGCGCTTTGCAGATGCTGATTCCTTTGGTAACTAGGTCAGGCATGCCTCCGCCTTCCGGCGCTGCGGCAGACGGGGGAGCTGTGGCCATCAGTCTGGATGTCGGTAACCAGAGCAAAGAAGGAAAGTGTCCGTGGATGGATAGCGAGGCAGCTTCCAGGGTTTCTGAAAAGCCTAAAAAAAGAAGCAGTGAAGGCAAAAACAAGAAGTTTAAAAGTAATTATTCTGCACAGCTCGCGAGTGGGGAGAGCAAGGAGGAAGCCCTCAGCCCACCTCTCCCAGGGAGGGAGGGAGGTGCTGGCAGTGCTGCCTCCGCGAGTCCCGGGCCTCTGAGCTCGCAGACCGCGGAGGCACCCACAGTGGAGGGAGGTGGCCCACAGGGCAGACATACTAAGGTTCATTCTTTTGAGCTCAGGGCGCTTGGGGGGAACAGAACAAACACAGTCAAGGATTCTGCTGTCACCGAAGCAGCTACCGAGGTAACAGCCGTGAGCGGCCACGGCCAAAGCCAGGGGGCAGGGCTGGTTCCCTCAGAGGCCGCCCAGGGGCGCCCTGCAGGGAGGGACAGCCCCGGGGAAAGGAGTGGCGATGGGAAAAGCCGCTCTTCTGAGGGGCGCGCTGATGCAGCAAAAAGACACGTCCCCAGCGGAGCCGCAGGGGACCACAGGGTGGAGGGAAGGGGCCACTCCGGTGAGGACAGGAACATTACCTGTACGGGCCCCCGAGCGCCCTCAGAGGGCGGGAGCAGGCCAGCCCCTCCCCAGGCTCTGGACCCCGCAGCCCCTGGCCCTCCGTTAGAAAAGGGAGGTGAGTCCTTTACCAGCCCCTTGGCAGGAAGTAGGCAAGAGACAGCTCTGGCCCCGGCCTCCGAATTAGTGGGGGGTCATTGCTGCAAAGATGGGGTCCCAGAGCAGGCAAGGGCCAAGGCTGCGTCCGCAGCCCTGCCCCCGGCAGCCGTAGCAGCAGGGCCGCGCCCTGGGGACGGCTGTCCTGAGAAGAGAGGGGAGCTCGCTGGTCCCTGGGAAGGCGAAGCGGGGGGAGACGGAGGCCATGTGCGGGGTGAGTCGGAGTCAGTGCCCAGGGGGGCAGCTAAGCATCCAGGAGAGGGAACCACAGAACCAGCCATGGGCCACCGGCCTGCGGTGCCCACGGAAGACCAGCGCCCGGCCCGCACGCTCGGAGGCCTCGGGGTGCATGCCGGAGGGAGTCACGTTCCAGCGTCTGCAGTGGACACAGAGAGAGGGGCTGCGGAGGGCTCTGCTTCCCGTCACACTCCCCCCTTCCCGGGAGACAAAGCACAAAAGGCCCTTTTCTGTGAGGACCAGAATGCCGAAGGCAGTTTGAATAAGAAGATGGATATGACTTTTTTGACTCCAAACAGTGAAAAGGATGCGTTGGAAGGAATTGGCCTGGCTTCGGAAATGGCGGCATTAGCAGATGCGGCCGCGCCAGTGCCAGCACCAGCACCAGCACCCCAGTCAGGCTGCTCAGCCGGCCAGGCAGGGGCGGAGGCCGAAGTGACTGCTTACCGGGGCCTCCAGCTCCCACAACCCCAAGAGGAGGCCCCGGAGGCCCCCGGGAGCGTGGCAGCACCGGCTGAGCCCGCGGCTCCGGGGGCCGGGAAGACGGGAGGAAGGAGAGTGGCGGAGCCGCTGAGAGGCTACATGAGACCCACCAAGGCCCGAGGACTTGCTCCGCCTTCGCCGAAGGAGCCGGAGAGACCCCGGCCCGCCGCGGCCCGCGGTAGGAGCTGCCGCTGTGTGTGCTGTGGCTTTGGTCCCATCAGACTTTAATCTCCTCGTCACCAGTGACTTGTTGGCATGAAAGACCGTAACTTCTAACCGCGTGTCTCCCGCAGCTCACATGCCCGTGTCCAGCTTACGAGGCTGACGTCGTTGCATGCCTTTTACCCGGTGAGGAGCCGGAGGTTCAGGTGGAGCTGGATTTCAAACTGAACTGTTAGCAGACAGGAGGCTGTCACCGCCCACTGTCCTTGGTGTTCCGTTTGAAGTGTGCTGTGTGTGCAAGGGCTCCAGCCACGGTCGTCATCGTTGGGTGTGAGGAGGAGGCAGCATTTACATCTGCTGCTGCATGGGGCTTTAGCTGTTAGTATGTGCAGGCGTGTGCAAAAGTAGATTTGCCGTTGAATGTAAAACAGTTTATTCTTATAATAGTACTTATTGCTTATTGCTACTGCATGATTATTGCATGGTATTAAGTCTGCCTACTGGTGCCCACCCTGGGCTGTCCCTCGCGCTGGTAGATGGACTGTCCAGGCTGCTGTCGGCTGGAGCAGAACGGCTGCCAGCTTCGGAGGCGCAGCCGTCCCTGTGCTCCGGAGAGATGGGGAGAGGCCAGCAGGACGCAGCCCCTCACTCACAGTTCGCCGCCACCCGCCCCCTCCCCCACTCCTACCCCCCAGTCCCCAACACACACCCTAGAAAAGTGGGGAGATTTATCTAACCCTGAGGTCCCCGAGCCTCACCTCCAAAAACTGGTTCCGGGCCTTGGCGGTTTCTCAGCCGCCGTCTCCCAGCGTGCAGGATGCGGCTGCTGACTCCAGAGATGGAGAGGGCGCATTGGCCTTCGCAGCCAGCTCAGCGCTGGGGGCTTCGCCGTGGACCATGTGGGCATGCTGTGGGCTTGTTGGGGGAAGCGTGTGCGTGCGTGCATTTGTTCCCAGTGGGGGGCGCTGCTGTGCCAGTGCAGGATGCTGGAGGTGGTTCTTTCATAAGCTCTTCTCATCTTCCGTGCTTATCCTGTTCGCTCTCGTGGCCAATGCAGGGAGCTCTCCAGCGTTGTTTAAGGTGCCAGGCTCTGTCCAGGGCTTCCATTAGTTTCTAGATTGCAGCTCGTTCGGCAGGGATGCAGAGGGCACGGAAATGTTCTGAAGCCTGGCCATCTCTTGTTCAGTATCTTCCAAGAAGTGTAGAGAGAGGGTTTGTCTGGTTGGGAAGGAGCAGATGCGGTGGAGTGTGGGCCTGCTCGGCCAGGCCAGGCTCCGGGACTGTGAGGAGTGGCCCGGCGAGGGGCTGCCGAGGGTGTGGCTTCTGGACAAGACGTGTTGTTTCTTCTCTGAACTCTAGGACCTTTTCCCGAACGTGAACGTCGTTATGCACTTTACTAGTGAGGCGCTCTTTGCACTCGTTTGAACAGGAGTACAGTCAGTGACACAAAGGGGGAGCCGAGGGTGACCCTGACGGACGCCCGGAGCCCGGAGAGCTAGTGCGGGCCGTGGCACGTGGCTCCGAGCGGGCCGCTGTGGACACCAGCGCACAGCCCTTCTCCGAGGCAGCACGTCTCCTTCCTTCCTGCTCCTGCCCTTCGCTGGAGCCCCCAGCCGGCTGCCCTCGCAGGGGAAACATAATCCCAAATCCGGACAGTTTCCGGGGCCTCGTCCATAAGCACGGTGCGCGGCCATGGGAGCGAGGGGAGCTTTAGGACGCGCTGTACTGCAGCTGGGGGAGTGCCCTGCCTTCTGCTGCCTTCCCACTTACTCTCCCGCTCTGTGGCCTTCCTCATCTTCCCGCTGAAGAGTAGTGAGATTTACTGAGAATTCTGTATATGCACAACTAAAGAGAAGTTACCGTGTGCTCAGCACTGTCTCATATTGTTTTCATTTTGACACTTCTCTCCACCTTATTTCAATGGGAGCATCTAATCTCTGACAGGAGTGCGGCACATGTCAGCTGTTCCACTTTAAGAGGTTCTTCCCGTGTTCCCCCTCCCCCCTCACTTTTACCCTTTCGTCCTCTGGCTGACAAGTAGCCTTGGAGGAGGCAGAAAACCAGTGACCCCCTGACCTCTGGTCTGGGCTGTTGCTAAGATACCGCCCTCCTCAGGCGGCCGAGGTCCTGCTTCTGGGCCCCGTGAGCCGAGCTGACGCCGGCGCAGGATAGTGGTGGGTGACAGGTGTTTCCATAGTCACTTACTTTTGATCGGTGATGTGGGCTGGCACTGCTGTGGCCTCCATTTCTGTGTCCCCATGTGGATTACCTTGGTCAAGGATCACATAAATCAGATCGCTAGCTCCAGTGTTTTCATTTGTCTGTTGGCATTCCAACTCTGAGAAGTTAACCAGGGAGAATCATGATTCCCATGTACTAAGAATGTTTCTAAGATGTAGTTGAATGTGGATTTAAAGTGTTTTTGCGGGTAAGTAGAGAGCGAGCAGTTTTACAGCATTCAGCTTTTATGAGTGTCCCAGTCATTGTGACCAGTAGAATTACTGACGTGTGTTGTCATGATGATTTACAGAAATTGTCTCCTGAGACAGTGACAGGGAACAGCGGGTCCATCTGGAAAGTAGCTTTGTTGCCTAGGTAACGGAGAGGGGATGCAGGGCAGCCCGTGGTGGAGCACATCAAACCCAAAGCCTGCACCCATCTGCCAGTGCCCTGGCGAGCTAGGCCCTGCGCTGCGGGAGCCGGCGCCCAGGAGGCTCGGCGCCCAGGAGGCTCGGCGTCTGTCCTCTGGGGGCTGATAAA